CCCCAAAACCCCAAAACCCCAAAACCCCAAAACCCCGTGTTTAGGGGATTTAATTGATGTAATCTTTAAATAATTTTGGAAATGGCAGATACTAGAAATCTTTGAAAAGTAATCCATTGAGGAATAGGATTCTTTCTAGTATTCTTCTCTTATGCAACATGTCAAAATATTGCAGCTCAAGTATATGACCAGCATGGGTATGGGTCACTTGGGTTTTACAGTATAAGCATGGTCTATGCTTTATTCTCTCTCAGTAGTATTATTTGACCGAAATGGATCAGTAAGCACATCAATAATTGCTAAGATTTACCTTTGTTTTAGAGAAATGGGGACCAATCAAATCAATGGCTATTGGATCATTCTGATATTTTATATGGGTATCTAGTTGCATACTTCCTGTATTGATAGACAACAAATCCATTATAGGATATTCGATCTGGATAATCAACTTAATCACGGGTGGCATCAATGGAATGGGAGCAGCATTCCTCTGGGTCGGAATGGGAAATTATGTCTCGAAATGCTCTAATAATGACAATAAAGGCTTTAACTTTGGAGTCATCTGGGCTTTGTTTGCATGCAACTTCATAGTTGGAAATTTGAGCGGTAAATTTTGATTTATTTTTAGCTGCATATATTCTTAAAAAGACAAACCAGACTATAATGTTCTTAGTATTAAGCTGTACATCTTTATTGGGAACTTTCACTTTGATGATGCTCAGAACTCCACTCCCATGAGGTATTTTAGTCTGAGATATTATAGATAACCCTGAAAAGCAATTTCAAAACTCTGAAGAAAATGAATTCAAAGCTCTTAAAGAGGAAGGCGATGATCTTCAAGAAAGAATTTTAGATGATGATTCGTTATCTAAAGAAGGTAAATCTGTTTAAAGATCTCTAGAGGAGCCAGAGATTACCTTTGCAACTACTTTTGCACTAATTAGAACAACAAAAATGAGGAAGTTGCTGACTCTCATGATTTTCGTTGCTATAATTATCGGATTCAAAGGAGGATTATGGTCAAAATTAAGTATGTACTCTGATAGATTTGTCTAACTTTATTAATTATAGTTTCAAATATCATCGAGGTAAACCCACAATGCTATAATATAGGATGAAGAGCAGAAACTCGTCTCATCACTTTACTGTTTATTTTTTATTGGAATCGGAGAAGTCTCGTGAGCACTCACTTTAGCAAGAGTTATTGATAGGTTAGGGAAGCACTCTATTCTTGTCCTTCTAACATTGATTGTGACGACGATGACTTCTATGTTTATTGTTCACTCCCAACAGAAATTTGGGTGGCATTGGTATGTTGTGTCTTTTCTTCTTGGTGCCAATGATAGCTTTAACAACACATTGATAAACTCAATCAATGGCTCTGAATTTGAAAATCAAACAGAACCTTTTGCCTGTTGTAAATTTATTGAAGGACTTGTGGTCTTCACGGTGCTGATCTTCGAGTCTTTCATCAAAACCAACTTCTTAGGTCAGCAAGTATTTTTGATCTTTATATGTGCTTACGGAGTCGTAGGTTGATGTGTATGCTATACATTTCCGTTTAAAGACAAGAAAGACACCACAACGAAGCATGAAATGATAGAGCAGGAGTTGTCATCTTCAATTGTTCAGTAGCACATTAAAATTCAATCTTGGGATAAAGATAGGGGTTTTGGGGTTTTGGGGTTTTGGGG